TAATCAAGAAAGTACCCTATAGACATAGCCATAGGCCAGTTCAATGGAGGAAATTCCCCAAGTGAGGCTCCTACCCAGATATGTCAAGTTGACAACCAAAGCTGTCCAGCACAGAGGAAGGTTTCTAAAGGAAGCACAATTCCACTTAGGTCTTAAGTATTTTTTTTTAAGTTGAAATGAAGTCTCACTTATGTAGCCCAGGCTCGTCTCTGCATACTATATAGCAGCGGACCCTTGTGCCTGAGCGCTTGAATACAGGAGTGCACCACCACTCCCAGTTTATGTGGTGCTGAAGATGAAACCCAGGGCTTTGTGCATGCTAGGCAGGCACTCTGGCATCTGAAACAGGCATTAATTTAAATAACTTTATTTTCTTGGTATTGTCACCGTAGCTCCTGGAATAGGGAGCTGTTAATAACAGTGATCTCATTGTGTGGGTGGCATCCGTTGAAGACTTAGTTTTGTTGTTGTTTTTAACATTTCATTTATGTATTTATTTTGATTTTTATGTGAGTGTTTTGCCTGCATGTATGTAAATGGCCCTGGAGGCCAGAAGATGGCTTTGGATCCTTTGGGACTGGAGTTACAGATGGTTGTTAGGTGCTATGTAGCTGTTGAAAACCGAACATGGGTCCTTTGGAAGAGCAATGAGTGCTCTTAACTGCTGAGCCATCTCTCCAGCCTGAAGACTTACTTTTGAAATGTGTGTAGAGTGGGAGATGTATGTGCACACGAGTGCAGGTGCCTGCAAAAGCCTGAGAGGATGTCAGATGCCCTGGAGCTAGAGTCACAGGTGGTTGTGAGACACCTGATGCAGGTTCTGGGATCCAAACTCCAGTTGTCTTCAAGAGCAGTATGTGCTTCTAACTGCTGAGTCATCACTTCAGCCCCAGGTGACAACTGTTGAAAGCAGCAGGACTCTACCATAGGCAGTAAGCTCTAGAGCGTTCATCTAGGCCATGCCTCTATGCCCCCTCCCAGCTGCGACAGTCCTGTGGGTTTGTTTACAGTGGGGTGGTACCAAGGCCATCCACAGCAGGTCCTAAGAGAACCCTGCAGCTATTTCCTGCTCAGGTAGTGTGCTCAGCTCTGGCATCTGCCCCACAAACCACAAACAGATCCCAGCAGGGCTCAGAGGGAGATTTTCTTCAAGAAGCAGCACACTGGCCACAGGCCCACCTACTACCCTGATACTTACCAGTATACCACTCATCAAAGAAACTTCTTTTTGCAACAGATGGAGGCTATTACAGAGTTCTACAACTGGTCACACACAGGGACTATATGACTGAGAGATGCCCAACCCTAAGTGACACATCTGCAGTGGAACCTCTATACCCAAGGCTCATGGAACATAGCAGAACAGGGGGTAGAGAGAAAACTAATGCATCTGTCAACTCTCACTAGCAAATCTTCCTTATACAACAAAGTATGATGCACACAGAAGACCACAACTGGATAAGTTTTAGAAAACAAGAGACTGCAGAGTGCATGTCCCTGGATAGGACTCCTATATTAAGCTTCACCCACACACAGCTCAGGGACCATTATGGAAGAGGGGGTGGAAATATCGTAAGAGCCAGGGTTGGTGCATGAACATAAAGAAATAGGTTTTCAGGCCACTGGGAACTTGCTCATATGAATTTGCAACAATGGTGATTGCATACATGCCCAAGACCCACGCCAATTCAATCAGACAAAAACCCAGAATAGAAACAGGGAAATGGGCAGCAGGCCCCAACCCTAGCTGAAGAACTATTGACAACTTATTACTGCTGGGTGAGGGAGAAGAGCTCTTTAAGGGATTGACTCTAGATAGGCTGACTAGACTCCAGTGGATGAACTTGCACCAAGGGACATCAGGGTACAAATGCTTGACTGCATAGGACCACATATCCTGCTCCCTACTCTCTTCCCTGCCACCTGCCTGGGAATCAGAGTGCCTGGCCACAGGCTTGCACTGTGAAACTGCCTCCCTTCTCTTAAAAGTATAAGAAGGGATGCCACTTCTACCACAAGAGGTCTGGTTCCTCTCTTCAGGGCTCCACCATGGTGTCTGTCTCTGGTACTGGGGCCTGAACGCTCCTTAGAGCCCCTGCCATACTGTTGTCTATCTGTCTGTCTTTCATGGCCTTAATAACTCATCTAATAAACTCCATACCCCTAATAGTTGGTCTTAGTGTTCCCTTGAACCTGCATTTGAGGTTTTACGAAGCACTCTCCTCCCCAAGTCAGAACAAAAGGGTATCACTGAACACTCTTCTTCCAAACGAAAGTTCCAGCTTTCCAGCCTCCTCCCACGGTACAATATCTCCTGGTCCCTTCTGTCCCCTACATCTCTGACCCAGATAGAGTCCCACAATGTTAGCCTTTGAAAGCACAGTTGGGCTCTGAGTGGGTTGGTGGAATTTCACAGGAAGAATCTGGAGGCATTGGGGGTGGGAGATTCCTACCCTGGGCTGGCGCTGAGCAGGAGTGAGGATGGGAGCTAGGTCTCAGACCTCAGGGAGTCCCCTTTATCTCTGCCTCTTCTCTTCCCCTTCCTATCATACACCAGTGAGTTAGGTGTGTTTCTCCACAGACTGTTTTCCCACTTTCCCTCTCAAGCCTCCCTTCTCGGCCACCCAGCATCTATTCAGCCAGGTTCAGCTCTTGATAAGCTAAGCGAAAACATTTAGAAATCTGTTTTTGACTATTTTCCAGGCTCTGTATTTCTAAGTAGGTCCAGAAAGTCAGGCTTGAGTTTTGTGTGGCAGAGATGACATGTCAGTGCTGATAGTGTGCATTAGGTACACAGCTGTGAAATTCCCAGTGAGCCCAGATTGGAGCCTGGGCCACACCATTTTGTAAGGCTCTTCCACTAACTTATTTTCCTAGATTCTTGCTTTCACCACACACATAGCTGATTCTGCATACAGGAATCAGGCTAACAGACTCCCTCGTTCCACACTACAAGCCCTGATGGCAAGCAGGTACTATGGACCGCCCATTCATCACATGACATAGAACCTCCCCTTTCCTCTGGAATGTGTAAGAAGGGACCCCACTCTGCCAGGTGGACTTGAACTCTCCTCAGAGTCCTCGCCACACTGCTATCTGTCCATTTACGGCATTAATAAACCTTTTAATAAATCTATTATTCAAGCAGCAATCTACCTCAGTGTCTCCCTTGAACCCCAAACTCAAAACCTTTCACTGTACTCCTCAATAGGGCTTTCTCCCTTTCTCCCTCCCACCTCAGGAAAGGAGACAAGTTCTATCAAATGGCTATGGCCAGATTTCTGGCCCTCCTGTCCCCTGCATCTCTGGTCCAGAGCTGGTGTCACCCTAAAGTGCCATCAGATCCTGGGTAGTTGGATGAAATCTCACAGGAAGAGCCCTAAGGTATCCCAGTGCAGGAGACTTTCACCTGGCCCAGGCACAAAACAGGAGCCATGTGCTTTGGGCCCTTCCACTTCTTCCTGGGTTCTCATCTTGGTTTTGCTGTTTATAGGCAGCCTCAGGAAATACGAAATCTTTGAGGCTGAATTTCCCTACCTACCAAGAAGGAATATGGCGTCATGGAGTCCTCTGTACCTGCTTATTTTGATTTAGTCATTTATTCATTAAGTGGTTTTTTTAATCATGTGTATGTGCAAGTGTGTGTGTGTGTGTGTAAGGGTATACATGAGCCACCATGTGCATGCAGAGCTTAGAGGACAACCTCAGGTGTGAGGTCTCTCTTGCTTGCCCACGTGAACACCAGGCTAGTAGATCACGGGCTTCCTGGGACTCTCCTGTCTCTCCCTCCCAACTCACTGTAGAAGTGCAGGGATTACAGTGCCTGCCTTTATTTTGTTTGGGTTTGGGGTTTTTGTGGTTTTGCTTTGTTTTGTTATTTGCTTTTTTGTTTTGTTTTTGAGACAGAATCTCACTATACAGCACTAGCTCACCTGGAACTTGCTATGTAGACCAAGCTGGCCTGCCTGCCTCTGCCTCCCAAGTGTGTGGATTAAAGGGATGTGCCACCATACCTGGAAAGTGTTTTTTTTTTTTTAAATATTTATTTATCCTTATTATGTCTACACCTGAATTAATCTATGTGCACTACATGAATGCAGGTGCCCGTGGAGGCCAGAAGAGGGCATTGGATTCCCTGGAACTGGAGTTACACGTGATTGGGATCCACCTGATGTGGATGCTGGGAATGGAAACCAAGTTCTTTGCAAGAACAGTAAGCTTAGGGCTGGAGAGATAGTTCAGAAGTTAACAGAACTTTCTGCTCTTACAGAGGACCCAGGTTCAGTTCCCAGCATCCACATGGCAGCTAACATTCACCCATAAGTGCAGTTCCCAGGGATTCAATGCTCTCTTCTGCCCTCCATGGACATTGTACAAATGTGGTGCACTTATATATGAGTGAGACAGAACACTCATAATTTTTTAAAGAGGAGTAAGCTCTCTTAACTGTTGAGCCACCTTTCCAGCCCTCTGACTTTTGAAAATGTGGGTTCTGGGGGTTCAAACTCAGGTACTCATACTTGTACAGTACAGTAGGTGCTCTTACCCACTGAGCCATGTCCTTTTCTGAGTTCCTACTGGGGTAGGTAAATCTGATCCCCACATTTATGGAGGTCAGTCTTAATGGGATGTAGTCTTCAGGCTGAAAGGTACAATTCATATGTACCCTGCTGTCTGGACCCACCTACAAGCTAATCTCTCCATCTGCTGCTCAGCCAGTCAAAAATAGGGCCATGTGCTGGTGCTGGAGGCAGAGATCCCCGAGAGGTGATGGATGACTAAAGAGACTGTCAAGACTAGTCTGACCACCGTGACCCTCATGTGCTCCATCCTTACCTGGCCTCTGAGCCATACCTGCAAACCTGGCATGGGCACATTGAGCAAGACATTTATAAAGGAGATGGGTACTCCACAGTGACACTTAGCCACAGCTAACATGAGCTTTATTAAAACTCCCTCAGCAGGTTCAGGGAGTCTGCAGAGAACCTGCTCCACTCCTTTCCATGGGGGTGGAGCTCAAGGACACCTGGGCACACAGCAGTGTCCTCAGGACTCGAAGGTCAACTACACTCCACGCCTGCATCCTCGCTGTGGCTGCAATTGTGAGAACCCCAGTCACGCTTCCTGCAGCGCCATATACTGAACTCTGTCCCCCGACACTGCACATTATCCATCCAGATGTTCCCAGAGCCTGAGAAAGAAGCAAGAGAGGGAGTGGTAGAGTCAGAGCAAGGCAGTCCTGTTGGTCCTCAGGAGCTCCCTGCTGGGGGAGAGGCTAGGCTCTCCCCAGTCCAGTTGAGCCCAGCAGTCTAGGCCTTGTGTGGTCTCTGATTCCACTCTGTCCTCAACTGTGTCCTGAAAGTTTCGTGCAGACATTTAATACTTAATCCACACACTACAAATGCATGGGATCCTGCCCGCTCATTCCATGTTACTGCAATACTTGTTAACGTGTTCCATGCCTCAGCCAACTCCCTTCTTTTTGGTAGGGTTAAAAGCAGATCATTGGATTATAGACAGCTATGCTCCAATTCAAGGAGTTTTATAGTCCAGTTAGGTCCTGATTAAAAGGTGGGTGTGAGGCTAGGGGGATGGTACAGTGGGTAAGAGCACTTGCTGTGTAAGCATAAGGACCCGAGTTTGGATTCCCAGCATCCACGTAAGAGTTAGCTTGGTCACATGTGCCTGCTGTAGTGGGGAGGGAGCAGAGATAGAAGGATGACTGGGATTTGCTGGCTGCCAGTTTAGCTCCAGGCTGTGAGAGACCCTGTCTCAAGGGAATAAGGCAGAGAGGGATAGAGTGAAACACCTGACAGACCCCTCTGGCCGCTGCATGAGCAGTAGCTATGCACTTTGGAGTAGGGTAAGGCAGAAGACATCTGGGGAAAGGAAAGAGACCTAGCCTTGAGTCCCTGCTATCTAGAGAAGGGGGTCCAGCCAGAGACTTTGATGAAATGGGAAAAACATGTAAACTGGTTTCTAGCAGCCCAGGATAGCCTCCTCAAATGAATTTTAGTAAGTCTCAGCTGTGATTTGTTTTCTTTCTTTCCCATGTATTCTTTGCTTTTGCTTTTGTTTGAGATGTAGCTTCACTATGTAGCCTCAGGCTGGCCTCACATTCTCCATCCTCCTGCCTCAGTCTCCCAACAGCTGGGATTACCAGTGCTGCCACCACACGCAGCTTCCCCTGTGTTCTTCACAAAGTTCTTCACGGGGCTGGGGTGATAGCTTAGTGGGTGAAGTGCTTGCCCCCAAGTTTGATTTCCAGAACCCATGTAAAAAAATCAGGATATGATGGTATGTGCTTGTAATCTTAATGTTAGAGAGGTAGGGGCAGGCAGACCCCTGCTAGCCAACCAGCCTAGCCAAATCGGCAAGCCCCAGGACAGTGAGAGATCCTGTCTCAGAAAAAAAAGGTGAATGGCAACTGAGGTACAACATCTGAGGTTGTCCTCTGGCCCTCCATTTACATGTGCAAACACATACATGCTCACCCACATATACATGCACCTGCACACACATGAATATGGGGGTGTGGGGGGATTCAGGCTTCCAGTTGTGGACCATAAACATCTGTTTTACCCTGGCTCCATCTTCTCCCTCTTTTTTGGACAGTCACACTTGTCTGAATTCCACAGCCTTGGCCACATGGCCTTCTGACTCCAAGACTGGATGGATAGTGACTCACGGCAGTCATCCAGAGCCTTGTAAAGCCTTTGCTATCACTCCTGGGAATGAGATAGTGTCCTGACAGGGTGGTCAAGCTAGAGGGAGTAAGCACTGAGCTGAAGAACTTTTTTTTTTTTTTTTGAGACATAGTCTCATGTAACCCAGGCTGGCCTTGAACTTAATATGTAGTCAGGGATGACCCTGACCTTTTGATCCTTCTGCTTCTACCTCCCTGTGCTGGGATTACAGGTGTGTACCACTAGTCTCAAGTCTATGTGGTGCTGGGGACTGTACCCGCGGCTTCATGCATGTAAGGCAAGCACTCTACTAACTGCTAAGCTCCAGGACTTTACAGTTCCTTGAACTAATACTTTTCTTTAACCTCAGCCACACTGGGTCACATGCCACGAATGGGTGTCTGTCACCACAGCACTTGGACATGTCCAAGGAAGAAGCTCTGGCTGGTAGTCACTTACCACCTCCATATCTGATGAGGGCCCTCCCTCTGGAGTAACCCATCATGCGGCAGAAGACAGTGGCATCATTATCGTCCCAGCCATCATCACAAATTGTCCCCCAGGCATTGTTATGGTAGACTTCTGCCCGCCCTCGGTTGGTGCCATCCGCAATCCGGATCCAGCTGAAGGACTGGCCTGGACAAGAACATGTGTGGGAGGTAAAGAGAGTCCCCTCCCTTTCCCCCCATGGCCATATGGACTTTTACTGTTGCTGTTCGAGTGTCCCTGCTAGCAAGACCCCGTCACCACAGTCTGCAAGAAATTCACTTTGAACACCAACACAACCTGGTATGCAGCTCTCTGCACTTGGGCCTGGAGGCCCCAAGTCACAGGAACAGGTGCCTCCCTGGGACCATGCCTTGGGTGTGCTGTAGGAGGTGGAAAGCAGTGAAAAGGGACTGGAGGACAGAGTGGAGGGAAAGGTGGCGTAGGAAGAGGGGGAGAGGGGAGAGGGAGGCCAAGAGAAGGGAAGAAGGGAGTGAAGGCAGGCAGAGGTAAGGGGGTGGAGGAAGCAAAGGCAGGAAGGGGGAGGGAGTAAAGGTGGAGGGAGGAGAGAGGAAGGGAAGAGGAGGAGGAAGGGAGGGGGAGGAAAGAGGAAGAAGAAGGAGAGGAGGGAGGGGAAATGGGGAAGAAGAAGAAGGAGAGCAAAAGGAGAGAGAAAAAAGGGAGAAAGGGGGGAGAGGGAGGGGGAGAGGGAGGGGGAGAGGGAGGGAGGAGGGAGGAAGGAAGGTGGGAAAGTGCTGTCTGAGCTTCTAGGCAACAGGCAGGCCTGACCAAAAGAGGAGTCTTTGTGCTTTCTCCAGAGATGAGGATGTATTCTATAACCAAGTCCCTCCCCCACACTCAATTTTCCAGTACTGAACTGACTCTAAAGCACAAACTAAAGACAACAGAAATATCAATGAACTCTTCTCCATTTTCTCCTTGCTCCCCGGAAGACCCTGCTGTGAAGAGAACAATCCACAGAACTGAGCCAGGATCGCTCCTCACCCTGTGTTGCCCACAGGAGGGAGGGATGAGGGATTAGGGGTTGGTCAACTGTTCTCCAGCTCTGTCTGTGATGAGTATTGAGGGGAGCTCATGTGTCATGGGTACCAGTGGCTGGGCAAGAAGTCTCAGCTGCATCAGGAAGGACACAGCTGAAACTAGCGAGAGCATTTGGTAAGCAATGTAGATTGGGACGGCATCTCCTTGGTGGAAGTATGCCGTCAGTCTGTCAGTTGTAACGTCGTCTGAGGTGGGCAGGGCAGGAACAGGAAGGCTGTGTGCCTGCCCCCAGATCTGCCTCTTGGGAGACTGGATCATGCTTGGTGCCTGGGACAATTTGCAGCATGTAACTTGCCAACTCAATTAAAAAACCCTCCACCTGCCTGGGTTCTAAGGATCCCAACTCTAAGCCCATGAGACAGAGGCAGAGGCTTTACCTTTCACTCCAGGGTCCCCCTTCAAGCCAACTAGTCCGGGCTCTCGTTTGGAGCCTGTCAGCCCAGGGTTTCCTGTGTCTCCATTTCTGCCTTCAAGGCCTGTGTGGAGAAAGAGAGCCCATAGACGCCCTACTCTGCTCCCCAGGGTGGCCTGAGGGCCTTGCTGACTAATGCATGGGTGACCCTTGACTACTGGGTTCCCTAGGGTGGGCCATGCAAGCACACAGCCAAGGCCTCTGGTCATCCCACCTCCCGCACCAGTGCAGTTCATTGTCCACAGGAGAGCATGGCTGGCAGAGCCCTTAGAAGATGACATAATTGTGTGGAAGTTTTAGTCATTCTGGGGGATGTTGCTAGAATGTTTCTATACTCCAGTGTCTTTAGTAAATTAAGACAGTAATAGAATATGTTGCTCACAAGGAAGAGACATAGCTCTAGAAGTTTGTCTCAGTTCCATTTTAGCACTTGCGGTGGCTTGAAGAGGGCTAGAGTATGCCTGCCTAAGGTTCCTGTGTTGGGAGACAGCCTCAGGGAGATAGAGGCAGGTGGGAGTCCTCCAGACCACCACGGGGAGGGGGCTACCTCCAGAAGAGATCGAGGGATTCTGCCTCTCTGACTTCCTGTGATCTCCCCTCCTGCCTGTGTTCCCACTGATGGGATGGCAGGGGTGGATGGATGCACTTTTAGATTCTGTATGCTAAGAGCATATTTGTGTTTCATATTACAGAAAGGAATCACCATGTACATATGATGATAAACAGCTCAGCGGGGCACTCTGCTAAGGGGTTGCCTGTCTGAGCTAACCTTTAACTTAGTGTCTCAAGAGGAAAGTGGGACTCAGCCACCCTAAGAGAGGGAAGACCTCAATGCACAGAGAGAGGTAAGGGGAGAGAGGCCCGAATGTTAGGGACAAAGCTAACCAGTGAGAGGGGCAACACAGAACTTTAGAATGACTGACTACTTTTGTCCCCATTCCTCATGAAGATTACTAGCTGGAGATGACCAAGGGAAAGAAGGTAGATCTTTTGGGATATTAATCCCACCTGAGTAAAGCATGGTTTGGAAACTCCATTCCTATCTTTGTTTGTTGGTGTTTGTGGGGACAGGCAGCATGAACATGGGTATTCCAGTTATATCACCATTACGACACCACTCACCACATGGCTTCTGCCAAGGCTGAGAGGAAGCCAACACTAGGTCCTTGAGCTTCCAGTGCTGTATACTCTATCAGCCTTTTTCCTTTATAAAGTGGCTTACCTTGGGCATTTAATTATAGTAACAAAAAGCTGATAAATACAGCAGTCATTAGAGTCAGGATGTGGAGAAAAGAGGAGTGTTTTGTGGAAAGCTGTTAACAACCATTAGCAAGGACCTAGGAGGCCAAGATGGTGATGATGATGATTCTAATATCAAAGTGACAAGTGGCAGCAGGGAAGAGGAGAGACTTGAGGGACCAAGAAGAAAAAAAAAAAAAAAAACCAGACTGAGTAGAGATGGGAAAGCCCTAGCCTCTAAGGAGAGAAGGAGCTCTACCAGATGGCTTTGGAGTTGGCATAGCCTAACACCACCCCATGTGCTGCCCACTCTGCTCTGCCCAGCCCCACCTCCTACCCACTTTGGGATGTTGAGTTCCTGCCATCTCCCCAGATTCTCCAGGGAATGAATAGAGGCTTGAGTGACAAGGCTTAGAGTCTTTGCTTCAACTTTGGGGGAAGGTCACAGAGTTTGAAGTCAGTAAAGCTGATTTGCACAGGCACAGGCCTCCCCAGTCATCATTCTGAGAAATTAAAATGAAGCCAGCCCTTTACCTGGGAATCCTGAGTCTCCTTTTACGCCTTTCTGTCCTTGAATTCCTGAGACGGAAACACAGAGAAAGGGGAGTGGATAATAAAACTTAGATATTAGACACTTTTAATCTTAGACAACCTCTACCTTTTGTCTGATTAATGTAGATGGAAGGAAGGGTACAACAGTTCTCTGTGATTGCTTCAAACCTCTCGGAGCAGAGTGGAAAAGGAGACAGACTGCAGACAGATGAAGACGGGCATGCTGAAGTGAAAGTCTGGGGTAGAGACTCCAGATGCCCTGGCTGACCTTCCCTGTCCACCAGTGACCTAACTTGGTATCTGAACCAAATTCCATTTCATGATGTTGTCTTTTAAGAAAGGGATTTAAGGAAGATAAAGATATTTTGGAAACAAACATCTTCATTTCCAAAACTATGGAGTGACCACCAAACCTTTGGGGGTCATCATCTATAGGTGCACTATTGTGTGTGCAGGTGTGCAAGTGTGTGTATGATTGTGGAAGCCAGAGGATAGCTTCTGGGGTTGTTTCTCAGGCTCTGTCCATCTTATTTTTTGAGACAGGGTCAACTGACCAAGTAGGCTAGACTGTCTGGCCAGGGAGTCCCGGAAATCCTCCTGTTTCTGCCTCCCCAAACTAGGATTATCAGAGAACGCCACCACACCTGGCTTTTTAAAAATACTTTATTTTTATTTTATGTGTATGAGTGTTATGCCTACATGTAGGTAAGTGTACCCATGTCGTGCAATGCCCACAGAAGACAGAAGAGGGTGTCGGATCCCCTGGAACTGGAGTTACAGACAGTTATTAGCTGCCATGTGGGTGCTGGGAATTGAACCTGGGTCTTCTGCAAGAACAGTCAGTGTTCTTAACCACTGAGCAATCAGTGGGAGAGGCCCTCCCTCCTGCTCACCATTCCCTTCCTTTTTTCATTTATATATTGGTGTGTGTGTGTGTGTGTGTGTGTGTGTGTGTGTGTGTTCATGTGTGCATGGAGATCAGAGAACAGCTTTTAGGAGTCAGTTCTTTCCTTCTACCATTTGGATTTCTAGGATCAAGCTCAAGTCTTCAGACTTACAGGCAAGTGTCCCTACCCGCTGAGCCATCTCACTGGCCCCTTCCTCCATTACTCCTCTCCTTCTCTACACACTCTCATTTCTTTGTGAACTAAGCTTTTACAAAAGACTCACTGCAGGCTTCCTCATGTTGGAATCACAATTCATTCTTCTAGCAACACCACGGTCTCTTCACTTTAAGGGTCCATGCTGATTTCTTCCAAAGCAACAGGCCTCCCTAAGATGCTTATGCAAACTTGGAAGACTGCAAGCTCACTATGGAGCAACGAGGAGTTTGACAATAACAAAGAGGACACAGTTGTCCACAGTCACCTGTGCCCACCCCATGCCTTTGACCAGCTTCTCATCTGGGACATAAGCAGGTCCTGCCCATCTAACAGTCACCAGAAGTCACAGGGCATTGTCACCTCTTACAGGGGCCTGAGGGAAGGTCCCCTCTACATGCACTATCACTCATTTCACCATCTGGATTTCTGAACACCCACAGTGAACCAGGCAGCAGCAGGGTGAGGTCAGGGGCCTGGCAGGCCTCTTGTGGACCTTTTTTGAGATAGTGAGAGAGATGTTAGTGGTCAGCAGCATCTCCATGACACTTGGAGGCCTAGAGCTGACTGGGGAGGAGTGCCAGGGAGCCAGAGAAGCAGAAGGCTCTGGAAAATCATGAGAAGGCAACTCCTTCAATGCTCATGGGGAATGGGGTACAGAACTAGGGTTGGGAAAGGCTCATCCAAGAGTAGGAGCTGCTTTGATGTACAGCCTCTAAAAAATAGGCCTCAGCTCCCGCAAGGCATTGGCATGCATACAAGCCCCTCTCATGCTAAAGCCTCCAGACTCATGTGCCCAGCCAAAGAATGGGGACTCAGTTCATTAACCTTTCTAGATGTCAGACATCACCTGTCCCTGGCTTCCCCTGACAGAGGACACAGTACTTGCCAAGTGGGTTGGGACTCAGAGACATGAGCTTGAGTCTACTTCTGCCCGGCCCTGCCTTGTGACCTGGCCTGGGGTTCCTGCTAGGAGCCTTGATTTTCTTCTCTGTGTTTACTCTCCTCACTTCCTCATTAGGTGGTTTTGGGTGTCAAAAGTGGAGCCCGGGGTCTCGCCAGTGCGGAAGCAAATGATACTACAAGGACCCGTGGATCCTTCCAGTTCCCCATTAAGACTGTCTTCCTGGGTGATGCTAGGTTGTGTCAAATTGACAGATAAAACTAACCAGCACATCTAGGGACTGAGCCAAGGCCATGCCAATGGAAGCTCCCTCTCCTTCTTTGCAATCTAGGTCAAGATCAGGGAAAGAAATCTGCCCAGGGTGGTCATTAACTACAAACAGTCCACACCCTGGATTCTTGGCACTCTTGTCCCCTAGAGAGCATAACATCTCACCAACCTCTACCTCAGGAACCTGTCCCTAGAAGCCAGAGTCAGGGATCCCAGGACACCGAACCTCCTCAATTGTGTAATCCAAAGGCATATACCTCTCTGATTAGCCACAGCACAAAGGCCCCTCTATAGACAAGGAGCATGGGGCACCTCTCTTCACCAGGCCCACAGCCTCCATGCCTGGGCCTCCCCACGCATTTACCATACCCTCTTCCCAGGCCATCCCTTCCAGGGGCTCTGCCTTCCCTGCAGTTCCAGGTTCTAGGCCAGAGGCTGTGCGTGTGCGTGTGTGTGTGTGTGTGTGTGTGTGTCTGTGTATGTATCTTCATTTGTGGGAAGGTGTGTGTGCACATGTGCTTGTGTGCACCTGTGAAGAGGCGATCAACTTCATGTCATTCCCCAGGATGCCTTATTTTTTTAGATAGTGTCTCTTATTGGTCCTGAACTCACTGACAGAGCTCCAGGGAACTGCCTGTCTCTGCCTTTACAGTGCTGGGATTACATGTGTGTGCTTCCACATCTGGATTTTTTTTCATTGGCTCTGGGGCTCAAACTCAAGCACTTTACCAACTAAGTCATCTCCCAAGCCCAGCCCTGGACCAGGGCATTACATGCTGCCTCCTTCTACCTTTCAGCTCCCTGGAGAGGTGATGCTATTCCCTGCATCATAGAGGAGGCAGTTTAGTGATGACAGTCAGAGACCCTAAACGATTTCTCCAAGGTCATGCAGGAGTGAAAAGAAAGTCTGGGGATTCCCCGGGCTCTGGCTCCCACTGCACCCTGAAGCCGCACTCCTTCCACCAGCAATCCCAGCAGGCCTTTCCTGGAGTCTCACTTAGCCTGCTGTTTGGTCTGAATGACCTCTCCAGGCTCTTGTGAGTGGTGCCAACTTTTTCTCCTGAGAAGCAAAGTCCAACCACAGTAAGTGTGTCAGCATCTCCTGCATGTGGCTGGCTAGATGGCTCAGTGGGGAAGAGCACTTCCCTTGTAAGCATGATAACTTGAGTTTGAATCCCCAGGACTCACTGTGCATGCCTATAACTCCACACTGAGGGTACAGAGACAAGCAGATTGGAGAAGCTCACTGGGTAGTTAGCCTAGCTGAAATACAGAGCTCTTGGCTCAGTGAGAGACCCTGTCTCAGGAAAATAAGGTAGAAAGTGATAGAGGAAGACACTCTGAGTCCTCCTCTTGCCTCTGCATGCAAAAACATGCATTTACAAACACACAAAGACATCTTACCAGGCCCACCCGGAGACATTGATCCAGCTGGACTGGGGTAGGGGTCTGAGAACCCACATGTCCAACAAGTTGCTGTGTGACACTGTCCCTGATAGTGCAGAAACCCATCATGAATCGCACTTCCCTAACAAGCTCTGGTTTCTCTTGGGTTGTACCCTGTGTTGTTCTAGAGAACAAAATGGACTGACTTTAGGTTATGCCACACAACAAAACCTGGAAAAACACATCAGACTTTGAGATGAGCCCTTAGGTTTATTGTATATTAATGGAGAGTCTGTGAGCAAAGGGTTTAGCATCTCTGAGCCCTTGTATGATATGCATGTGTGTATGCATGGTTATATGTGTGGGGGTACATGTGTATGTTCGGATACACAGGTACTGACATGTGGAGGGCTGATGTTGATGCCTGGCTTCTTAGTTTCTCTCTACTTTATCTAGGGAGAGTCTTTCATGGAACCCAGAACTCGCTAATTCTGGTTAGTCTAGCTAGCCAGCTTGCCTTAGCAGTTCCCTGCCTCTGTCTCTTGAGGGCTAGGATTACAGGTGGTATCCATGCATGTCCAGATTTTACAGGGGTTCTGAGGATCCCAAACTGAGATCCTCATGTTTGTGTGTCATGAGTTTTACAGATGGAACCATCTCCCCAGACCAATCTTTCCTTCTTGGCTGCTAAACAGGGAAGATGAAACTCAGGTGTGGGAGGTTGATGACCAAGATCAGGAAAGTAAGGTCCCCAGCAACCCAGAGGCCTGTTAACAGCAAACAGACCCTTCCTTGCCTCAAACTAACCCACAACAAGACCTAGCTGACACCCAAGCCAAGCAATGCAATGTCATTCCTCTGTCTTCACCCAAACCTGCTAGATATTCTCTTGGAGATTAATGGTTTTATTTACAAAATGGGAAGCCTATCTGTTTGAAAACCTGGGTTGCTTTCACAAAACTGAATAATCACATAGCAGTTCTGGCTTGGGGATTACCAGCCTTCTGATGGTGAGGTGACGAGGGGACTTTGACTTCCATAATGGGGGCCTGCTACCCTCCTGATAACTATTCCAGAAATCATTAAATCTAATCTGTGTATAGGATTCTGGGAATTCCCCCTGTGGGAGGTCCATGTGGGCCAGCAGCTGCTCCATCAAGGCAAGCATTCAGATTTGGGTGAACCACCAACAAGATTTTACATAAATGGTAATTATCATATGTCCTGAGTTGAATATGGAATCCATCCTGTTTACTTGGGCAGCCATAATTGAGATGTACTGTAGGATTGGACTGGCTTGTTTTTACCACTTGGACTGATTAATGGTAAACTCCATAAAGATGCTCACCAGACTGGTGAGTCACAGACCATGGTGTCTGATAAAATTGGTGTGGGGTCTTGTGTGTGTGTTTGTGCATGTGTGTGTGTGTGTGTGTGTGCATGTGTATGTGTGTGTATAATGTGTGCTCAAATGTGGTGTGTGTATATATGGGTATATTTATATTATATATATGTGAGTACTTGTTCATGGATATGGGGTCTTGTGTACGTGTATGCTCATGTACATGTAGGCACATGCATGTGTGTATACATGTATCTGGATGCTGGGGACAACCTCAGCTATCATTCCTCAGGTGCCATCTGTCTACCTTGTTTTCTTAATTAATCAACTAATTAATTATTTTATGAGTGATTTGCCCACATGTATTAAGTGCATCCTTGCATGCAATGTGTGGAGGCCAGAGTAGGGTGTTGGATCTCCTAGAACTGGAGTTGAAGATGGTTGTTAGCTGCCATGTGGGTGCTGGGAACTGAACCCAGGTGCCCTGCAACAATAGCCAGTGCTCTTAACTTCCAAGCTATCTCTCCAGCCCCGTCCACCTTGTTTTTATGAGACTGGGTCTCTCACTGGCCTGGAGATTACCAAGTAGGCTAGGATGGCTGGTTAGCAAGCCCCAGGGATCCACCTGTCTCTGCCTCTCCAGTGCTGAAGTTCTAAGCCTGTGCCACAAAGCCTGACTTTATTACGAATTCTGGGGACTGAACACATGTCTTCATGCTTGCTAGGCAAACACTTGACCCGCTGAGCTATCTCCCTAAACCTGCTGTGGGGTCTTGAGGGAGTCTCAGCCTGGAAGAAATCAAAGGATAGGGAAAAACACAAATGATACCCTAGTCATGGTTCCCAACTGCCTTCAGGAAAGTCACAGAGATCATGTACCAAGAGTCCACGGCATGTTAGGAGGTACTGATGAACGAATGACTGAGTGAATGAGTGAACAGGTCAGTCAACCACTTGACCCACTGAAACTGTAAAGAGCTAGTCTTGATGTGGATCTGTAACCCTGCTAAAGCCCAGGGCACTCAAGTTGTCTCACCCTGTACAATCTTAAGCTCTCTCAGAGGAAGGGGTGAAGACACAGGGTTCTTGGCCAGCCTTGACAGATATGAGCCCTGTCTCACCACCTTGACTTCTGTCCTCACAGTTCTCCTAACTGGCACTCCTTCTGACTACATAGGGCTTACAAAATGGCACTGGTGAGTCCCCACTTGGAACATGCCTGGAGTCTGTTTACTATGCCAGTCAATATGTCTGGAAGCATTATGGTGCTCAATGCAGAGGCCTGAACTTTCTAGACTAAATGAACACAAATGTGGGAGCCTGGCTTTAGAGGCTGGACAGATTAGCATGTGGCTTATCAAGTGTACCACACTAGTGTGCTAGGTGAAACCTATATGAGATTGGGTTGTTTATCAGTCAGATCACAGAATAGGATGACTCTATATTATTATATACAACAAAATCCAGAATAGGGCATCTTTGGAATCAGGCTTTGGGATGAATCCCTAGATCTACTGTGTACAGAGAGCTTCAACTAAGATGTTCAAAGGTTTATAAACTAGCTTGCATGTGTTGCCTGTGTGGACCTGTGTTCTCAATCTGTCCCCATAGGAGAACACAAAGGAAGAGCATTTGTCTCTCTGTCCTATCCAGGGTGCTAATGTCATTGCAGGACAAGATGTTGGTTTCCAACTTCATTATCCTGGAAGTTTGGTCCTGACTTTCAAGGCTCTCTAGGAGCTCTGAGCAGAGAAACAACAGCCCAGGGTCCTTGGGCTCAAGAACCTCTGATGGAGGAAATTCTTCATCAGGGATCCTCAGAGACCAGAGCACAGGAGACCCTCTGCCACCCGTGGGCTGCTGGCTGGGAGTCCTCTTTCCTATCCATCCAGACACCCAGCAACCCCATTCCCTACCTCCCCACACCCAGTTACCTGTGTCTCCCTTGATTCCTTTCACACCTGCAGGTCCTGGACTCCTAGAAGGCCCTGGGGGTCCTAGAAAACAGATACCACATGGTGATAAGGACTGGGCTGGACAGGTGTTAGAACATCATTCCCCACTCAAGGATGTAGGACCTCACCTGTTAGGCCAGGATGGCCAATTAAGCCAGGCTCACCCTTGGCACCTAGGGGTCCCACTGTACCAGGAGGACCTGTAATACCCTGCATTCCAAGTTGTCCTGAAAGGTAAGTGGTGATGGCAGGGCTAGAGGTGGCTGGTGGGAGGGCAGGCTCCTCCACCCACTGTGATATGTGCCTCCTAATATTTTCTAGCCCTGGTCTTTAGAGGTTATTGACTACCCTGTGAATAGGAGGGAAACAGCCATAAACTTCTCTATCACAGCTGTAGAATTTGGGACAGTGGGTAGATTAAGAGTTCAGGTGGGATCACCCGATTCTGTCACTGCAGTGGCAAAGGAGGTAGACATCAGTTGAGCCTGCCTTCCACCAACTTCTCTTTTCCTCTTAGGAGTAACCAGTGTTCTAAGAACTCCTTGAGTGGCCTGGGCTAATACTATGAAGAAATGAGACTTGATGTAGTGGTGTATGCCTGTAATCCCAGTCCTTTGGAGGTAGAGGCAGGAGGATCAGAAGTTCAAGGTCATTCTTGGATGTATGGTGAGCCTGTCAGAAAGGAAGGAAGGAAGGAAGGAAGGAAGGAAGGAAGGAAGGAAGGAAGGAAGGAAGGAAGGAAAGAAGGAAGGGGGAAGGGGGGAAGGAAGGAAGTTCAAAAGGGGGAGGGAGGGAGGGAGGGAAGGAAGGGATCAGAATGGATGGGAAAGAAAGGAGGAAAAGAGGGAAGGAGGCAGACATGGTTGGGGAGAGGAAGCAGGGAAGGGAGGGAAAAGAGGGAAGAGTGGCAGAAAAGGAGATGATGGGATCAGGTTCCACACTTGACCTGAGGATTGCAGTCACTATTTCCAAATACCCACAGTTCCAACCTTTACTGCCTTTGGCTCCAGGAGATCCAGCCAAACCTACAATGGAGAAGGACTCATAGGAACGTTGTCATTCCCATGGGCTCAGTTATCAGAGAGAAGGCAATGCTTTCAGGCCTGTGGTCCCCCTACATGTGGTTGCTTACCTGGTAGGCCTAGAATCCCAGTGCCACCTTTATTACCCCAGGCTCCAGGGAGACCCATATCTCCTCTGTTTCCTTTCATGCCCATGTCTCCTTCGCTTCCTAAAACAAACAAGGAAGGAATCAAGGTTGGGTCTGGGAAGAGCATACACCAACCCTATTCAGATGTTTCCTATCTCACCCAGATTCTAAACTAAAATGCTCTGTGTTGCCCAAAGGTGGAAGATATGATTACTGCCCTCCATGGGCACACCCCAGTCCCCAGAGACAGGATGTAACGCATGACAGATTGGTCACATGACCTGGCACCACTGACCACTAGTGCCCCAGGACCCCAGTCAGAGCCCTCAGGCCCCTGGGGAAGGATCCCAGCCTGGGCTCAAACAGCAGTTTAGGGGCTCATTTTACTGGCTACATTTGGGGGACATTTCACAGCTTCTCAGAATGCAATCTAAATGTTCTAGAAAGCATCTCCAGATGCTGAGAATAGCAAAGATCATTGATGAAGAGAAAAACAGTGCAGCGGTTCCTGTGCCCGCCTGTGGCACAGACACGGGCTTCCCTGGCACTCAAAATTTCAAATTTTCCACTTGTCATCAACATTCAGAGCTCGTCCAGCTGGTCCTCTCCTGAGTCCTCTGTCTCTCCCTCCTCCTTTTCTGCCAATACCTGGTGCATACCAATTGAGGGTGGCTCCTGGCAGGGGCAGGGCACTGCCCTCTTGGAAGGGCAGGTTGGCTGGGGAGTGGACTCTCCAGTGAGCTTGCTCAACAGTGGCCACTTTGAGGGTCACTGAATTCACACTTCTACTCTGCACCCAGTGGGGCCAACATGGGGTGAAGGTTTTAGAGAGGACATCTCACCCCAAAGCAACCTTTTCTACCAGGAAATTTACTAAAGGAAATGAAGGCTCTGTTCCCGTATTGTTCTATTACTCCTAGATCTCTAATAGGAAATGTATTATTATTTTTGTGTATATGTGCGTGTATGTGTGTGTGCATGCTCATGTGTGGGTAGGGGCAGCACGTGTATACATGGAAGCAGAGGCTGCAGAACAACTTCAAGTGTCACTCCTCAGGTGTTGTCCACTTTGCTTTCTCAGGGCAGGGTCTCTCACTGGACCTGGAGCTGAGCAACTAGGCTAGGCTGGCCGGCCATCCAGTTTCAGGGGTCTTCCCATATCCACCTCTCTTCGCTGAGATTGGATAAGAAGCAGGTGCCACCATGCCTGAGTTTTTATATGGGTTCTGAGGATCAAGCTCATGGACTCATGTTTGCACAGCAAGCACTTTGCCAAGTGAGCCATCTCCTCAGCCTTCTATTCTGTTATTTTGGTGAAGGCCCTGGTCACACATGCCTGTAATCCCAGTGCTGAGGAGGAGAAGACAAAAGGATCCTTGGGGTTTAGTGCCTAGCCGGTATAGACAGAGAGAAGTAGAGGAAGACATCCTGACCTCAATGTCTGACCTCCATACATGCACGCACGGACATGCACACCCCCCCCCACACACACACGCACACAAGAATGGTTGTTACCTGACAGAAAACCAAGTACTAACAAAGAACTTTGTTCCATGGGCACACAGACCTCTCCAGGAAACAGGAACTGGTTTTGGTTTCCTTATCTTATGAATCAAAACAGTTCCAGGATAGGAGTTTGAAGGTTCTCATCCCAAAGCAATGAAAGGTATTTGGGCAATGAATGGACACCTCAAAATCCTGAGTAGGTCATTGTATTATACATACATACATATGTGTGTGTGTTTGTGTGTGTATCACACTATACCTTATATACATGAACAATTATGTGTTAACTAAAATTAGATCATTTTCAAAAGAACTAGGCCATAGTTAAGGTCTCGCTTAAGCAAGCTAATGTGCAAACAGCCAGGGAGGCAATCCTTCCCTGGAGGCAGACCCGAGCTCTGTTCTCAGTGTGCATGGCTAGACATGGGGTCCCTGCCTCCCCCAGTCAACCTGTGAGTGCCAACACCTCAACACAGCCCTTACCGGGGAGGACTGGGTACCCTCTCTCTCCCTTGGCACCATACTCCCCCCTGGAGCCAAGGAGACCTCTGTCGCCTTTGCTTCCCTTCTCTCTTTGAGGTCCTGGGGAACCTGTGAAGAAAACAGGGATGAGGTAAACATCTACTGTCCTACCAGGATGGGCTCCTGGAGACAGAGGCGGGGAAAGATAGGAAGGGGATTCTAGAGGAAGTCTAGGGGACACATTCATTAGTTCATTTCTTTGGTGGTCTTGGTGAGGTATTTGAAGACTTGAGAGGACAGTGGGGAGAGCATGAAGAGAGGGTCAGCAGAGAGAACACCCAGAAGTGACTACCCCAAAGCCACTGGCAATACATCTCCAGTCCCAGCAGGAGAAGCCCAAGTTATCGAACACTCCTGGCTCTCCTGGCGCACCAGTGAGTCCCCTGAAGTCTGTGAGAGGGAAGCGCGCACTCAGTCACTGGAGCTCTTTCATTAGCTGACTTTCTGGGGCCCCTGAGGCAGTAAAGGTCCCCAAGCAGGGGATCCCTTCCCCCCATACACAGATGCACAAGTGAGTATATATGGCCGACTCCCAGGTGGGTCCAGATGTTCCATGGATGAAAGGCTCTAGAAAAAGACAAGTCAGTTTGAATCACAGCTGTCTCCCCTGGCAGGCTGGATGACCTTGGAAACGACACTTTTAAGTGTCTTGAGCCTCAATGTTCTTGTCTGTAAAATAGGGCTGGTGATGCCCGGGTCTTAGCAAGTGCTTCACTAATGTTCCCATGCCCAGGACAAAAAGCTGAGAAATGATGGCTCCCTCCTGCATGACCCAGAGAGGCTAGATGCTGTGCAGGGCACAGAGTGCAGTGAGGGCGATGCCTGTAGAGAGGACTAGGGCAAGACAGGGAAGATGTGACTGGAGAGAGGGGAGGGGAGGAGTGGAAGGAGAGACTACAAGGGGAGGTGTGGAAAGAGGCTCTTGGGGGTGCCTGAGCCCCCAGCTTTTTCTGGGCAGCAGTGCCCACCCAGGGGGAGGCACAGGGTGCTCTGGGTCCACAATTCCCAAGCCACTGTTGCAGCCACTTTCCTTCCTGTTAGGTTTGTAGGATCCTTGGAGCGTAGGAGAGGGGTTGGACTTTAGGAAGATTGCCCAGCCTTCTCCCACCCTCAGCAAGTGTCTGCTGCAGCCTGAGAAGTATAACTCTGGACTCAGTGCCTCTGGGAATGTGCTGGGCCCCTTCCTTCCAAGTGGCTTTGGTGACTGCAGTCTCCTAGCTCCAGGAAGCCCACCCACCCCATGGCTCTTTTTTTCTAGGAGGAAAGAGACAGGGGGACTGGTTCCCTTCTGAGAGGGCCTGCCTGCTGTATGAGTGTGAAGGTCTCCATACATACGTCCTGTGAACATATACAGGTATGTATGTATGAGTCTGAGCATGCCGTGTTTAAGTATGAACACTGGAGTCTGTGCAGAGGCCTACATGTGTAATGAGTATGTGAACACATGAATGTGAGTGCGATAGGCATGCATAAGCATAGACATATGCTCATACATGTGAACCAGCACATGAGTGCATGACTGTGTATGGGGATGTGCATAGATGTGGAACAGTGTGTGAGCATGTGACTATGTGTGTGTGGTATGGGTATGAGGTGCATGTATTCTTAGACCTGTACATGAGTGCGTGAGCATGTGATCGTGTATGTGGTATGAGTGTGCTCATGTTCCTTAATGCATGATAAGTCTCCCTTCCTATGGTTTAAAGCCTCTTAGAAGACTCTCTGCTAGAGACAATATAGCAGGTTCTCCGGGAGCCTATTAAATGCCAACGTAATAGAGCCAGTTCCTCGAAGTAGCTTCCTCTGCTCACAAGTTCCCTTTCTGTGGCTGCTGGAGCTTTCTGGAGGCTCGGGCCCGCTGCCTTGTCTACTTCCCCTTCCTCTTAAACCAACCGCCTCAGCTCCTTGCCATTAAAGGTCTTCTGATCCCTGTATCTTCAGCAGACTCGACTCTGGGGAACTGGGAGAGTGCTGTGGAGGCTGATGGTCATTTCCCTCACGTTTGAGTCTCATCCCTGGGGAATAGCTCTGAGTCCACTATTCTAACAGAGCATGACCACGGCTAAGACAGCTGGACAGGTCTCAGCCTCTGCCTGAAAAAATGTAACCTAATATATACAGCCCAGCAATAATCACGACTTTTCAGTCATTATTTGGAAGGAGGCTGAGGCTGGAAGATTGAGAGTTCAAGGCCAGCCTGGTCTACATAGTGAAACTCTGTCTTAAAAAACAGTAACAGGGGGTGGTAGCTCAGTTGGTAAAGTACTTGCCTTGCAAGCACAAAATCTTGCATTTGATCCTCAATCCATGTTTAAAAAGTCAAATTTGATGTTATGAATTCATAATATGGACACTGAGTGGCAGAGACAAGCAGATCCCTGGGAGTGATGGGCCAGCCAGCCTAGCCTACTTGGTAGGCTCCAAGCCAGTAAGAAGCCCTGTCTCTCCATCCCTCCAAAACAAAAGTGGATGGCACCTGAGGAACAACAGCCAAGGTTGACCTCCAGCCTCTACATGCACACATGTGCACATGCATACACCACACAAATGCATCTGCACATACACACCAGGCACACACAGTGGTGTACAATTACAACACCTTGCTGTATTCTCAGCTCCACTTTACAGACAAAGAAACTGAGACTTACAAAAGTAAGAGAAGTCCAAGGTCACAGAGAGATGGATAGATGTCTCAGCCCCTGCTGGACCATAGAACTTGACTTTTCCCAGTGGGGCTCACAGGCTTGTATTCCTCAGCACAGAGAATGCAACTGGGGTGTCCACACCCTCCAGTCTGCCCAAGCTGAGGTGCCATGGGTCAGTACCACCCTGGAAGGGCTTCCTAGACCTGTCTTCCTGTGTGCAGACTACCCCCTCCCCTCTGAGCCCACCGCCTCCCCTGACACAGACCTGTCCCATGGTATTTAGACTCTGGTTCATGTCACTGAGAAAGTCTGCTGTATATTCCTGTGACACCAGCCCCTACTTACCTTCTTCTCCCTTGATCCCTGGTAGGCCCTGGGGTCCTGGGACACCTGGAGGTGTGAAGGATTAAAACAAATGCTAGGTTTAGAACATGAGGTTGGGTTCCTGGGGAAGAGGGGCTTGTAGCTAGTTGGGTATGAGACAGAGGCACTGAACAGGTAAGAAGGGCAGGGCTCTGGGAAACCCAACAAAGCCTGTCTCACAGCAGGATCCCATCATCTCTCACAGAATACTTCCTTGATCCCAAGTTACCCTTGCCCTTTCTCCTCTTAAACTTCTGTTGGGAGCTATTAATCCATTATGTACATTGAGCTCTGGCAGGCTCGCTTGTTTACTGAGTTTATGTTTTGCACACCAGTACCTAATCAGCCAAATCAGGAGGAATGTGTTTATATGGTGGAGTTCATAACAAGTATTTGACCACTCCTTGACCCTCAGATACAGGTGGGAAAGCAGCTGTTGAAATTAATTGAGTTAAGCAAACAGTGGCTGTCTCTGATGTTCTTCTGTATAAAAAGGCGGAGCTAAAACAAACCAGGGCTGCAGTCTCTACTGACAGTCCTCCCAAGTATCTTTTCTGTCTCTTGTTTTTCTTTCAATCCTCACTCCCCCTTTCAGGTACTGTCCATTTTGGCTGGTTGGCACCAGCAAACTTATCAATTTTAGGTGGTGGTTACACATTCCTGCATCCAATGCAACTAACTGAAACAGACTGGGTTATGGGTAGGGATGGCTTCAAGGAAGGCTCCACCTACTCCAGGAAAGGGAGCACCCCAGATCATCCCAGGGGAGGAGCAACGGTAGATCAGGATTTTGAGTCCAGGGGCTGGAGGCAGTGACTGGGTCAGTGCTCTGATCTGGAGGGCATACTTCCTTCTCTCCCTTAAAAAAAAAAGTATTTATGTGTATATGTGTTTGTCTGTGTGAACATATCCACATGTATGTGGGTGCCTGAGGAAGGCATGGAATCACCTAGGGCTTGAGTTATATGTGGTTGTGAGCAACCTGATGTGGGTGCTGGAGAGCCAACTCAAGTCCTCCAGCAGAGCAGGAAGTTCTCTTAACTGCCGAGCTTCTCTCCAGCCCCTCCACCCCCTTTTCTCCCTTCTTAATTGCTAAAAATAAACAGGTTACTTGCTCTACTTGTGTCTCAGTGTGAATTTTTCTCCCTGTCATTGTTGGGATCAGAGGAAACTAAGGAGACATCTCCCCATTCACAACAGAGGGAAGACAGGATTCAGAGTCTAGCTTGGAGAACATGAGATCACAGAGCCAGAAGACAACCACTGTACCTGGGGCTCCAATGTGACCTACAGCTCCCTTGTCTCCCTTCTCAGCAGGTCGCCTAGGCAGGCCAGGGGTGCCAGGAGCACCTGGGGGTCCCCTTTGACCTGGAAGTTGAAGAAGAGGAGCAGAGATGCCAGTGAGTCAAGCCACGAAGTAAATGATGATATCATGATCATATCCCTCACTCAGTCACTCAGCGAAGATTCACTGAGCACCAGGGACAGGCTAGCCCATTCAAAAGGAAATAGAAGTGGTCAGCGATCCTTCCTCCAAGAAGCATGTGGCAAGAAAGATATGAAAAAGAATAACATAGATGATGTCTTCTCAGGGAGGCTTATTCACACAGATATGGGTTCAAGTAGCAGCCCTGCCTTTTGGCTGGGTGACCTTGGGGATGTGAGTTCATCATTCTGAGTCTCAGCTTTGTCATCAGTAAAATGGGTTGATGTGTCCTAAGATCACCCAGGAAGACCCTCTGTGGAAAATGCAAGGCAATAAACAGGACCCATTGTTTCTTCAAATCTCATGTTTCTCTGATGTTTCCTTGGCTGCTATAGAGTGAGGGGCTAACTGTAGTCACTCAGTAACTTCAAGTAGGTGGCTGTGGTGGTTAGTATTGATAGTCAACTTGACAAGGTCTAGAACTACCTAGGAGACAAATTTCTGGGCATGTCTGTGAGGGAGTTTCTAGATTAGGGCAACTGAGTTGGGAAGACACACCCTAATTGTGGGCAGCACCATCCCAGAATCTAGGGTCTTGGACTGAATAAAAAGGACTGCATAAAAATGACCAGCATTCACCTCTCTGCTTCCTGACTATGTATACAATGTGACCAGCTGCCTCACACTCCTGCTGCCATGACTTCCCACCATGATGGACTTCACGCTCAAACCATCAGCCAAAATAAACACTTATATTTCTTTTGTCAAGTATTTTACCATGGCCATGGGAAAAGCACATCTCTGAGGAAGATTGAAGCTCTGGGGATTTGACACTGGCCTGTGGGGAGACTTGGGTGTTCTCCTCAGTTTCCCTCTGTTACGTGGAATCAGAATACTTACCTCGGCCTCGAGAGAGTTATAAATGAGCTTGCAGTCCCTATGGAGCCCAGTGAAAAGGGCTCTTGTTGTGCTCAGTAGCCCAAAGGAAAAGGCCAGAGCCTGGGAGACCCCATGGCATAGGGAATCATCCCTCCCTTTAGAGCTGATCCTGTGGTAGTTACCTGCCCTGGCTTGTCTAGTCCCTCTCCTGCCTGCCCTTCCAGTGTGGAGAGCCGTAGGCCCCCACCCCAGAATATAGCAAGACCTCGTTCTTAGAAAAGCTGTTTTCCAGACATCAAGGCTGACCTGGTTTGAGATTAACCAGATGGCCATTCTTGAAAGCCTCACAAAAACATGTTGTTCTAACTCGGCCACTTACCGCTTGAGAGACTCCCTCATTTCTCATGGAACTGCCTAAGAAACTTTTTGTATTACTTTGTAATCATGCAGGTGTAACCTTATAATTGATTTGTGGCCTTACTATAGAATTGTGATGTTACTATGGTGTTCTGTTAATTGAATTGCTCTGCCTCAATAGATTTATCCCTTGCCAGCTTTAACCTCACAGCACCTCCCTCTCAGAAGTAATATTACAGAATAGAAGGGGGCTAGATCTGCTTTTCCTCAAG